TATATATATATATATACATATATATATATATATATATATGTCAGTCACCATGGTGAATACCAGACACTAAGTGCTAGATTTGTGATGGCAACCAAGATGGTTAACAATATTTATTATAAATGACTTAATACCTGTATCTAACCCAACGAGTTGCAGCCTTGTCTAGTCAAATATTTAATTTATATAATATTAATTGTTTGAACTTAATGTTATCACTTATTGCAAATGGTATCATGAATTATTGCGATTGGTATTATCAATTACTGCACTTAATTTTATCAATTATTGCAATGTGCCGAAATGTAATTTCATCACAATGACAGTCACCATGATGAATACCAGACACTAAGTGTCAGATTTGGGAAGGCAACCAAGCTGCTTAACAAGGGAGGCTAACTAAGAATAATTATTATTAGTGATTTAATATCTGAAACTTACCTAACGAGTTGCATCCTTTTCTAGCCAAATATATTTTGGAGGTATCATTACGATTGATCCAAAAAGAAAAACAACAGGCTGTAAGACCTGCAATAGCTTGTGCGAATTGAGGCCCCGAGGTTAAAAGTCCATTCTAAAAATGATGATTGCAATTAATTTTGTAGAAAATCTTAGATGTTTATGTCTTAAAGTGGCATGATTCTAAATTATTGTGATATAAAAAATATAAACTAAAATATCGATCTGTATAAACAATTCCAATTATGCAATTCATGAAATACAGAAGGAAATAACAAATGCAAATCGATGCTCTTATTATAAATAGGTATTTTTACAAATCGAGACTTAATAAAGATGCATTTATTGCGTTAGAAAAATGTAAAAGAAAGATTTATTGTTACAATCGCAAAGAATGAGGATATATTGCTAATTCTGCTCTATACCTGGTATAGATATTAAAGTCATATAAATTTAATGAATAAACATTTTTAATCGATTGAATACCATCATCTCATCTATATTTTGTTATGATATCTAACTCATAAAAATCTGATTTAGCATTTATCTCTAAATCAGATAATAAGTTGTTAAAACCTAACATTGTTCTAGCAAACATTCTAGACCACGCCATTAAAATGATATTTTTTTAAACTTGCTTAGATGACTCTTAGCGATGAAAACTATTTTATGATAAGCTAAAAATAACTACTTTTATTTACTTAAAAAATTTGTAACACTATTAGAGATTATTGTTTCTAAATTATTTTCTTATCACAATTTTGCAATCAGAAAATGAAATATTTGACACTAAGAGTTAAATTTTTAATATTAGTTTATAATTAAAAACACCAAAACAAATAAAAAGATTTATACACTCTCAAAAATAAATAAATACGTATTTAATATAAATTAAAAATTTTAATTTTTTGTTACCTAAAATAGTTTATGGTAGGGTTTAAAAAATATTTGATTTCAATTTGTTTTCTCATTTTGATTCGTACGTTATTAGGAAAATATAATGGGTAATAGATTTTTATTAGTTCAAAAATGTAAACAAGGACGTGTATATATATATATATA